TATTAAGAATAGGGTGAAACTAAACACCTGACCAAACACAGTCTTATCAACGCATCACAACATGGTTTCATGGAAAGAAAATCCTGTCTGACAATCTTACTCATGTACCTTGAAAAAGTAACAGAATATGTGGACCAAGGCTTTCCAGTAGATGTGTTGTACATGGTTTCCTCCAAGGCATTTGACAATGATCCCACATGCACAACTAGCCTCTAAGTTTCAGGCTCAGGGCATCACAGGCAAGATTTTGACATGGATTAACAACTAGCTTGAAGACAGGCAACAAAGAGTGGTCATAAATGGAATACATTCTGAAAGAATGGAGGTTCCCAGTGGAGTACCACAAGGCTCTATCCTTGGACCCACCTTGTTTGTGATCTACATAAATGACATAGATGAAAATATATCAAGCCACATAATCAAGTTTGTGGACGACATGAAGATATTTGAGAAGGTGTCAAGTCATTCACAACAATGCAGAAAGACCTGAATGAGATGTTGAATTTGTCTCAAGACTGGCAAATGCTCTTACACGTAGAATACAACAACCCTAAGCACAACTATTCTATTAATAACTCTTTCCTGGATACTGTCAATAAGGAGAAAGTTCTTGGCGTTGTGATAGATAATTCACTGAAGGTAGCGTAGCAGTGAGGAAAGCAAATTGAGGTTTGGGAATTATAAAGCATACCTTTGAATACAAAGATAGGAAAATGTTCCTCTAACTGTACAAATCTCAAATATGTCCCAATCTGGATTACTGTACTGCATACAGGCATGGAAACCCTTCCTCCAGAAAGATCTAACATCCCTAGAAAAGGTGCAACACAGAGTGACTAAAATGATTCCGGAACTATGTCATCTTGATTATTCAAGTAGATGGAGGGCCTTAGGACTAACAATCCTTCTGACATGGCACAATAGGGCAGGTCTTATTGAATCATTTAAAATCCTGAAAGGGATAGAAAACGTGAACTCGGAACATTTCTTTGTAATGTCCCACATCACCAACACGAGAGGACATAACTACAAGCTTGCCAAGTTATCATTCAGAACAAATATAAGGAAATACGTTTTCATAAAGAGGGTGGTAGACCCATGGAATGGTCTACCAGCCCAACCTGTGGAATCAAGAATAGTACTGGGCTTCAAAGTAGCCCTTGACAAATTATCAAGAACAATGGCGGGACTCTACACAGGCCCCTGGCATCTCTCCCTTGGCATGACCACTTCTAGTGGATGGCCAATATGTAAATAAGGTAAATGTTAAATAACATGAATGTGGTGAAGGAAAATCAATTGACAAGCAGCCATGATAGGGAGAAAACTCCACATGTGGCGTACTGATTCTCTACTCCTATCTTCGTAGCTCGTCCACTTACCAGCCCGTAAGGTTGGGAAACTACCTTTTCAATAAGAATCTGTCCCTTATACTAAGATGAAAACTGTATCTCCTCTAGCAACCCCAATGACAAGAACCTATCATGAGCTGCATACTGTATAGTATTTTCTTTAAAAAAAAAAAAAAAAAAAAAAAGGTATTGGAGCATTTCTTAGAAAAGTTATAATATTTATTGGTGAGGAATCAGTGTGAGAGAGCAACATCTCTCAGAGCAGGGTAGCTCCTGCCTACACTCATACTGGCACATGGGTGGTTGAAATGGAAGCAGGAGGCATAAAATCGTCAAATAGATGAATTTAGGTGTTGCCACTTGGTCAACTGACAATTATAGCAGTTTGAGGCTTAATACTTTTCATTGTTTCTCATGGTAAAACTCCCACATTTTCAGATTACAGTTCTGCACATTGCAAGCATCTTCATAAACAGAACCCTAGTAATAAAGGAGGACTACTTGTACTGTATGTACAATAGTTTTTGTTTTTTTTCTTATTCAGAAATTTTGAAAGGGCTTCGTCCCAAGCATTCTAGAATCTCGAGCTTGTACTGTGTTATCATCATCGCCGTTTTACAGCCATTTTCCACTAGGTTGTGCAGATTATGTGGAATATTTACTTGTTCCAGGCAACTGACTTTTGAAATTTACTTGCCAGGATAATTATTTTACTTCCCAGACAAATTTTGGAGGAAATTTGCCTGCCCTATTTTTTTATAGGAAAAGTTAAATAAATATTTTAAACATTCAAATTTATTGTGTGTATCAACTCATACTACATCACTTGTCTATTGTAAGTCCTGCAGTAATTGATCACAAATCTGCTGATGGTTAAGAGACCCCTATGACACTTGCGCCTGGGGGGGTGAAAATATGTGGTGAAACGCGTGAGATTCCTACATCACAAAAACTGAGAAGCTACTGAAAAGGGAGACTAATGAGGTTTGCATGTGTTAATGAATGAAAATTAAACGCCTATTTTACAACATATTCTAGTCAGGCCTGCTTGGTAATTCTAACCGTACCGCAAAATTACAATACATCATATGACGTGAACCAAAACCCTGTATGCACCAGTCATATGATGTGAACCAAACCCTGTGTCAAGGAATAATCCAAGAAGACCAAAGAACTCACCAACTGCATAGGCTAACCATCACCCCAGAACATGACTCATGAATCAATTAGCATCCAGGTTCCCAGTTAATGCTAGGTAGACACAGGCAAATGGCATAAAGAAGCTTGCCATAGTTTCACCCTGCCCAGGAATTGAACCTAGAACCACTTTCTTGTAAAGTGAGCATGCTGACCATTATAATACATAATATATTTATGGATGATCACAAAAGAGCAATTATCTCTGTATTCTGTACAGGGACAGTCATCTTGAAATAAATAATAATTAAAGGGCATCATTGTTAAAGTAACTAACATAATATAACATTTCATCACCTACATCAGGTATAATTTGAAAAGTTTATTATACAGAATGACATCCTATATAAAGAAAAGTTTCACTACGATTAAATTTTCATTATGTTATAGGAATGAAAACAAGAATTTTTACTGTGTCTATTGACACAGAGCATCAGTTGTAATAAAAGTCTTATTCAAACGATTATCCCTCAAAAATTCTCTCTTATCTCCCTCTTGCATGCATGTTTGCACATGCACAGACCACTCTCTTTGATGCCTTTCAATTACGTACACCAATCAAACCACAGTTCATGAAAGGGTTTTGTTCCTGTAAACCTTTCATAATTCTATTTTTCGTAAATTGGATCATATTTTTCCATAGAGACTCAATATAAAACTCGAGATACGTTCCTACAGATATAAAACTTCCCCCAGTAGAAATGTCTTAAAATGAGACATAATAGGTTTTTAATGAAAAATTTGGGTGTACATAATGATCATAAGCCAATAATAGACATAATAAGTGCAACGCTTAAAGTACAATAATAATTTTTTAATTACGTACAAGAAATTGCAATGCTTGAAATTTACTGAGAATCTGTGCCACTAGTGATGCAGTGTCAGACTTTGAGGTTCTGTCAAGACATGTGGTTTTAACTTCACAGTAACACACCAACAGTAAATCTATTGCACAGTATGTACGGCATGTACATTTTGTTATGTTTTGCACTCAATGGCTTTGACATCTGATGAGGGCTTTATCTGGAGAAGAATTGCTAAATTTACCCATTTAACATTTTGTTCTTTCCACTGACATCAGATCAAACTCTGAGATACTAAACATATCAGTGTTCCCACAGTCAAAATACCTTGAACCAGCATCTTGCCACTACAGTACTTGTGATTCTGTGAGCCACGATAACTAAAATGCTCCAGGTATTTTTACTTTTATATTAGATAACCATTCTTAATATACTGTACACTGGGTCTGGTACGCGAAGGGACGGGACTTTTTTCTAAACTTTGGATTTTCATATCCCAGATACAGTGTACAGTTACTAAACTGTACCCTCATTAATGTGAATTGTTATAATTCAGATTTTGGCTTAATTTATATACTGTATATATATATATATATATTATATATATATATATATATATATATATATATATATATATATATATATATATATATATATATATATTCAACCGCTTACGCGTACCCTTCGAAACCGGCATGCTCACTTTCCTCAGTGTGTGTACCCTTTACGCTGGAGAGCGGCGAGCAGGGTGCCCACACAAGGTCACCCAGTCATCAAAACATACGAAGTTCTTCACTCGCCACCCACCACAGCCGCCCAAGTCAGTGATAGTGAAATGATAGTGAGGATATGGACTTATATGGACTTTGAGGGTTTGACAAAGAGGCCCTGCAAGCTCTCGTGGTGGATAGTGATACAATTGATACAAGATACAGGTGAGGCCAATAATCTGCTCTGCTCGAACCAACCCCATCCCGCTGTGCCCAGCCATTTTTCTACTAATGTAAGTGTAAAAAAACCTAATATTATTGATATTTTTATTTATATGCATACCATCATAAAATTAAGAAGTTATTTTTACTACAACGAGGTAGGCCTGAAAAAGTGGAGCTTGGGGGCGCCGGTCTCTATTTCATTAATCCCATATAAATATGTTGTCCACTTACGCCCGGCCGGGGTCTAATTGACCAAAAGTGATATATATATATATATATATATATATATATATATATATATATATATATATATATATATATATATATATATATATATATATATATATATATATATATATATATATATATATATATATATATATATATAATTTTTTTTTAATGAATTAAACCACTGTATTGGAATTCATAATGAATCGGAAATAACCGAACAGTTCCGAAAAGTTGATTGTTATTATAGGAATATTTTATGAAATAGATTAAGATGAATGAATTTAGAATAGAATATGAATTATATTAAGATACTGTATAAAACTACATTTGGTGTGTAGCAGGAGAGGTGGGAGGAAGGAGAGGACAACTCACCACCTTTATAATGACAGTATGCAATTTCACCATAATTCCCATATTATTTAGGTTCATATGGTGCTGGGTTAATAAAACATTATAAAAAAAATGTTATTTGTGTATTACAGTGAAAGAAGATCTCAAGTGGTGGTCCTCCAGCCAGTCAGGCAGTAGAGGACACTGGCAGTTTTACTACCAAAGATGTACCAACGTATAGACACTGACATTGGGGACGATGAACCGCTGCCACTTGGTATGTTATCATTTTTCATCCTGTTTATCAAGAGATAATAAATGTACAATAAAAATGTTTGCACAGCCATAAATAAGGACAACATTGACTTGTTATTCTCTTTTATATGGAATTACTTACTGGGTTTTGACAAGTGTACATACTGAATGCTGTATTTATCCAGTTGAAATTACTATATCAAATAAATTTATCTTGTCAGAAATATACTGTATATCACCAAGGCTATTCATATCACTTAAACAATGCATTTTTATACAGTATTTGCATCTTTTTGTCATAGTAAGAAAAAGATCAGTAAACAAGCCATTAAAATTGTAAAAATCATCAGAACAATGAAAACTCTTATCAAGTAATTGTGACAATTTTCTTAATATCCTACTGTTTACAGTATACAGTAGATATTTTCTGGAATGTATTCAAATTTTATTTTTCCATTTAGTTACAGCATTAGTGTGGTTTGAGGAACTCCAGAGACAACTATTTGGTGATTTAGAGTATTTTTTAATATGGATATGTATTTTTGTAAATCCTGAAGAGGAAGATATTTTATGGATTAGAAATGGGGTTTGCTACCAGCGAATGCAGCCCAGCCCAGGGAAAAGACGCCACGGTTTGTTTATGTTATGAGAAGGCGCGGGCGACCCAGCAACAGGTGCGTACTGTACCAAGTATTTTTAGCTCTATTAGGGTGTGTTTGAAAGGTGGAGAATAATGGGTGTTATGTGAAGAATGTGATGAATGCGTGGGACAGTTTGTAAGCCAGAATAAGGCTAATAAAGGCATTTTTCTACAGACACTCCTCCCCCGCCACCCCTGAATGAGTCGGCGCCAAGCTGCCACCTCCTTGTTATGCTGATGGGTTGGGTTTGTTGTTATGCACTGTACTGTTTAGTTCCTACTAATGTGTTGTGCCAATATGTGATCATGACAACAGTTGATGCTTGTTAGTATGTACAATGGCATGACTAGTTATGTCTGATCTAGGTCCCAGCCTTTCCTTCCTCAGGTGATTTCTAGAGTAAATAAAGGAGAGAAAATTACAAGTGTGTGTCCTATCCCTGCTATGAGAGCCCGCTCCTCTGTTCAAGCTACACTTGCAATTGCTTGCATGAGTAAGTAGGGATTCAACCCTTCAGAGCAAAGAACAAGCAGCACTCAGGCAATAATTAATATACCAGAAATCACCTGGGGAGGAGCACGGCACCACTGCCTGCTGAGGATCGACAGCAATGGAGTGAGCTTGGATTGATGAAGCAGTTATTTATGTAGAGGAGGACGGACCTAGAAGCCAAGCATGAGTTACCCATCCCCACACTACGCCCAGAGGAGAATTTGATCAACTTAAGAAGTTCGGAAGGTGAGGTTGACCAAGACCCCCGACAGGAGATAAATAAATTGTATCACCAGAGTATCCTACCCTTACATAATCAAGTACAAAACTCACAAACCTGATGGAACAGGGGGTGAGCAGTCTCACTAAGAGTGTTAAATGAAACCAAACTGGGGCCTCACAGTAAGAGCAGAGGGGTGAGCCTACGCACAAAGAGGACAGTGTTGATCTTTTTCCCAAGTGGTAGTCCATGAGGTGAAGCTTCAGGACTTTTTTCAGGGACACCTGATAATTTAGACCAAACTAATGTAGGTGAGTGTAACAAGTGTGACATAAGGTTGCTTGGCTACAAGGGTAGAGGGTCAGTCAACTATATTCTTAAATTTCTCACTGGTCCTGCTCAGAAAAGGGTAGAAAAACTGTTTTGGAGTGACAGTTGTAATAGTGAAGGGATTCTCACAGTTTTAAGGGTTACTTATGGAGAAAACCTGACGCTGGCAGAGCTCCAACTTAGATTCTATCAGAGGACTAAGGGTGTAATGGAAAATGTGTGGACCTTTGAAGATGCTCTTGAGCTGCTGTATGAGATGGTTAAAGTAACCCCAGCACAAGTCGCTATGAGGTCGGATAATCTGAAGAGGGGTTTTCTTAGGGGCTTAAGGGATCAAGGGTTGCAGAGTGGCCTATGTTGGTATGTGCGTGGCCGGCTTGGATTGTCTTATGAGGAGTTGGTACAGGTAGCTGCAGAAGAGTCAAAGAAAATGATAAAGCAGCCAATTATGGAAAACAACCCATCTAAGGGTGTGGTTTCAGCCATAAACGAATGTTCGCCTGTGGTTAAGGAAGTGGGAGGAACATTAAACCCCCATGGGAATGTACCTAAAGAGAGAGGGGTGGAGAAGATGCTTGTTGAATTACGAGTGGATATTCAGGCTGTGAAGACAGACCTTTTACAAATTAAGGGGTCACTGGAAGTTAAGCATCTTAACAAGGAAAGGCCACTCCCATTCCAGGGAGAGCGGGACACAGGGCGGCCACCTGTTGGCACCAGAACCAAGGTCGAGGGAGAGGAGGTCCACCAAGGTGGGCCCTGGCAATCTAGAAGTGGAGTAAAGACCACAAGAGTGTCAGAAATTTCTGTAGAGGAAGGAAATGGCCAACCCCTGGTGCAGGAAGCCCACCAGTAGGTGTAGAACAAGTGGGCTGGTCACACAGAGTGGAGTGAGGATAGGCTGGTGGGGAAAACTCCTGTCACCATAGTTAGGATAGGAGGAGTCTTGGTTACATCTCTTCTGGATTCCGGTAGTGAGGCGTCTCTTGTTTCAGAGACAGTTTATCGTAGAGATTTTGAATCTAGGGAGTTGGATTACATTCCCCAGAGGATCTTTTGTTGAAAGCAGCTAATGGTGGATCAATAACTTACCTGGGCTACATGTTGGTGGATGTTGAGATTCTTGAACATAAAATAGAACAGGTCGGGGTCCGAGTGAGGAAAGGGGAACAGAGCCCTGCTAGTAAGGCCCCAGGGTTGATAGGGATGAATGTACTTAGCCAATTTCGAGAGGTTCTAGTGAAGGATTTTGCCCCATTATGTTAACTGTAGAATTATAAAGGGAGACAGAGCTTTTTCTAAGTGTTTTCAAGAGCGTGAGAGCATCCACATATGGCAGCATAAAGACCAAGTGGGGTTTGCCTCCTCTACCAGGTGGAAACCAACAAGAATCCCCGCAAACTGTTGCCAGGCAGTCAGTATTTACATCGAGAAGCTTACGTAGATGTCCCAAGCTTGAGGCACTGAGGGGTTGCCACTGTGGCCAATGTGGATAATTTCTGCACGTGGCTAAAGTGAAGCTGGCATGTTGGAGTGGCCTTAGGGCCGATCTGTGTCCTCAACAAGAAACAGCTGAGGTGAGCTCAAACAGTTTTGAATGGGTGACAGAATGCCAAGCTGATGGGCAGATGCCAGAAGATCTAAGGCAAATAAGGCTGAAGATTGACCTAGAGCAAATACACAGTAGCACGCAAGAGAGACTTTGGAGTGTGTCGCTGAAGTACCGCGATGTTTTTCTGGAAAGCAAGGAAATTAGGATGCACTGGAATAATCAAGCATACCATCCCTCTCGTAGATGAAACTCCCATTAGGCAGCTCTTCAGACGGGTTCCCCCCACTCAAATCCAAATGGTTAGGGATCATATCAACCAGCTGTTGGAGCAGGGGGGTCATACAGAAAAGCACTAGTTCATACGCAGCCCCGATTGTTCTGGTGAAACGAGATATGTCACCGCGTTTGTGTGTTGACTATAGGATGCCTTTCCACTCCCAAGGATTGATGCATTGACAGGAGCAAAGTGGTTTTTCCCATTCAATCTAGCCTCAAGATATTCAGATAGATATGGATGACAGGGACATCTGAAAGACTGCTTTCTGTACACCATTTGGGCTGTTTGAGTATAAACGCATGCTGATGGGATTATGTAATGTTCCTGGAACATTCCAGTGAGTCATGGAGAGCATCTTTGACAGTGAGATATTTTCAGCCTTGTTAGTGTACCTGGATGACCTCATGATATTCTCAAAGACACTTGATGAGCACATAGAAAGGCTGGAACTGGTGCTCTCTAGGTTAAAGGGACATAACTTGAAACTGAAACCATCCAAGTGCAACCTATTTCAGAGGAAGGTTTCCAATCTTGGATATGTAGTGTCACAGAAGAGAATTGAGACAGACCCTAGGAAGATCGAGGCTGTTAGGCAGTGGCAGGTTCCAACACCATTAGGGAGTTACGTTCCTTCCTTGGTTTGTCTCATTTTACCAACAGTTTGTGCCTGGATTTGCAAAATTAGCCACCGCGTTAACAGCCCTAACGGCATGTACACAGCCCCAAACCAGTCCATCTGCTCGAGGTGGGGCACAGGAGCATGAATCTATAGAAGTAATTAGTAAACAGTAATTAGTGAACAGGAGTGTCCGGCGGTGTACAAGAATGATTGGCAGTATATAGCAGAGTCTGATGGTGTATGGGAGTGTCTGGTAGTGTACAGAAAAGTCTGGCAGTGTGAGGTGTCTGGCCATGTACAGGAGTGTCTAGTGGTGTCAGGGAGTATCTAGCGGAGTACAGGAGTATCTAGCCGTGTACAGGAGTGTCTAGTGGTGTGGGGAGTGTCTAGTGGTGTACAGGAGTGTCTAGTGGTGTACAGGAGTGTCTGGCAGTGCTGAGGAGTGTCTAGCCGTGTACAGGAGTGTCTAGTGGTGTACAGGAGTGTCTGGCAGTGTACAGGAGTGTCTGGCAGTGTACAGGAGTGTCTGACAGTGTACAGAAGAATCTGGCGGTGTGGGGTGTCTGACGGTGTACAGGAGTGTCTAGCAGTGTATAGGAGTGTCTGGCAGTGTACAGGAGTGTCTGACAGTGTACAGAAGAATCTGGCGGTGTGCAGAGTGTCTGGACGGTGTACAGGAGTGTCTAGCAGTGTACAAGGTGTCTGGCAGTGTACAGGAGTGTTCAGCGGTGTACAGAGTGTCTAGTGGTGTACAGGAGTGTCTGGCAGTGTACAGGAGTGTCTAGTGGTGTCAGGTGTCTGGCAGTGTACAAGTGTCAAGCGGTGTGGGAGTGTCTGGCAGTGTACAGGGGTGTCTGTGGTACAGGAGTGTCTGGCAGTGTACAGGAGTGTCTAGCAGTGTAAGGTGTCTGGGTGTGTACAGGAGTGTCTGATGGTGTACAGGAGTGTCTGGGGTGTACAGGGTGTCGGCGGTGTGCAGGGTGTCCAGTGGTGTGGGAGGTCTGGTGGTGTGGGGTCTACTGGGTGTGTCTGGGGTGTACAGGGTGTCTGGCGGTGTACAGGTGTCAGTGGTGTGGGGTGTCTGGTGGTGTACAGGGTGTCTGGTGGTGCAGAGGAGTCTGGTGGTGTACAGGGTGCTCTGGTGTACAGGGTGTCTGGCAGTGTCAGGAGTGTCTGGTGGTGTGCAGGATTGTCTGGTGGTGTGGGGTGTCTGCAGTGTACAGGAGTGTCTGGTGGTGTGGGGTGTCCTGGTGGTGTACAGGAGTGTCTGGCAGTGTACAGGAGTGTCTGGTGGTGTGGGGTGTCTGGTGGTGTACAGGAGTGTCTGGTGGTGTGGGGTGTCTGGTGGTGTACAGGAGTGTCTGGTGGTGTGCAGGAGTGTGGTGGTGTACAGGGTGTCTGGTGGTGTACAGGTGTCTGGGGTGTACAGGAGTGTCTGGCAGTGTACAGGAGTGTCTGGGGGTGTACAGGTGTGTCTGGTGGTGGCTGGGGAGTGTCTGGTGGTGTACAGGAGTGTCTGGTGGTGTACAGGAGTGTCTGGCAGTGTACAGGAGTGTCTGGGGTGTACAGGGTGTCTGGTGGTGTACAGGGTGTCTGGTGGTGTACAGGAGTGTCTGGCAGTGTACAGGAGTGTCTGGGGTGTACAGGTGTGTCTGGTGGTGTAGGAGTGTCTGGTGGTGTACAGGAGTGTCTGGCGGTGTACAGGGTGTCTGGTGGTGTACAGGAGTGTCTGGGGGTGTACAGGGTGTGTCTGGTGGTGTACAGGGTGTCTGGTGGTGCAGGAGTGTCTGGGGGTGTACAGGTGTGTCTGGTGGTGTACAGGGTGTCTGGTGGTGTACAGGAGTGTCTGGCAGTGTACAGGAGTGTCTGGTGGTGTACAGGGTGTCTGGTGGTGTACAGGAGTGTCTGGCAGTGTAGGAGTGTCTGGTGGTGTACAGGGTGTCTGGTGGTGTACAGGGTGTCTGGTGGTGTACAGGAGTGTCTGGTGGTGTACAGGGTGTCTGGCAGTGTACAGGAGTGTCTGGCAGTGTACAGGTGTGTCTGGTGGTGTACAGGAGTGTCTGGTGGTGTAGGGTGTCTGGCAGTGTACAGGGTGTCTGGTGGTGTACAGGGTGTCTGGTGGTGTGGGGTGTCTGGTGGTGTACAGGTGTCTGGCAGTGACAGGGTGTCTGGGGTGTACAGGTGTGTCTGGTGGTGTACAGGGTGTCTGGTGGTGTACAGGGTGTCTGGCAGTGTACAGGAGTGTCTGGTGGTGTACAGGGTGTCTGGTGGTGTACAGGAGTGTCTGGCGGTGTACAGGAGTGTCTGGGGGTGTACAGGGTGTCTGGTGGTGTACAGGGTGTCTGGTGGTGTACAGGTGTGTCTGGTGGTGTACAGGAGTGTCTGGTGGTGTACAGGTGTGTCTGGTGGTGTACAGGGGAGTTCTGGTGGTGTACAGGAGTGCCTGGTGGTGTACAGGTGTGTCTGGTGGTGTACAGAGTGTCTGCGTGTACAGGGTGTCTGGTGGTGTACAGGAGTGCCTGGTGGGTACAGGGTGTCTGTGGTGTACAAGGTTCTGGTGGTGTAGGAGTTCTGGCAGTGTGCAGGGGTGTCTGGGGTGTACAGGTGTGTCTGGCGGTGTACAGGGGTGTCTGGTGGTGTACAGGAGTGTCTGGTGGTGTACAGGGTGTCTGTGGGTACAGGAGTGTCTGGTGGTGTACAGGGTGCCTGGTGGTATACAGGGGTGTCTGGTGGTGTACAGGAGTGTCTGGTGGTGTACAGGGTGTCTGGTGGTGTACAGGGTGTCTGGCAGTGTACAGGAGTGTCTGGGGGTGTACAGGAGTGTCTGGTGGTGTACAGGGTGTCTGGTGGTGTACAGGAGTGTCTGAGTGTACAGGGTGTCTGGTGGTGTACAGGGTGTCTGGTGGTGTACAGGAGTGTCTGGTGGTGTACAGGGTGTCTGGTGGTGTACAGGGTGTCTGGGGGTGTACAGGAGTCTGCAGGTGAGCAGAATGTCTGGTTGGTGTACAGGGTGTGGTGGTGTACAGGAGTGTCTGGTGGTGTACAAGGTGTCTGGGGTGTACAGGGGTGTCGGTGTGGGAGTGTGGTGGCAGAGTGTCTGGTGGTGTGGGGTGTCTGGTGGTGTACAGGGTGTCTGGTGGGGTGTACAGAGTGTCTGGGGGTGTGGAGTGTCTGGTGGTGTACAGGTGTCTGGCGGTGTGCAGGGTGTCTGGTGGTGTACAGGAGATCTGGTGGTGTACAGGGAGTGTCTGGGGGTGTACAGGAATCTGACAGTGAGCAGAATGTCTGGTGGTGTACAGGAGTGTCTGGCGGTGTACAGGAGTGTCTGGTGGTGTACAGGAGAATCTGGTGGTGTACAGGGTGTCTGGTGGTGTACAGGAGAATCTGACAGTGAGCAAGAATGTCTGGTGGTGTACAGGATTGTCTGGTGGTGTACAGAGTGTCTGGTGGTGTACAGGAGAATCTGACAGTGAGCAAGAATGTCTGGTGGTGTACAGGAGAATCTGACAGTGAGCAGAATGTCTGGTGGTGTACAGGGTGTCTGGGGGTGTACAGGAGAATCTGACAATGAGCAAGAATGTCTGGTGGTGTACAGGAGTCTGGTGGTGTACAGGAGAATCTGACAGTGAGCAAGAATGTCTGGTGGTGTACAGGAGTGTCTGGTGGTGTACAGGAGTGTGGTGGTGTACAGGGTGTCTGGTGGTGTACTGGGTGTCTGGTTGTGTACAGGGTGTCTGGTGGTGTACAGGGTGTCTGGTGGTGTACAGGGAGTGTCTGGCGGTGGCAGGAGTATCTGGTGGTGTACAGGGTGTCTGGTGGTGTCTGGAGTGTCTGGTTGTGTACAGGTGTCTGGTGTTGTACAGGTGCTGGTGGTGTGCAGGGGTGTGGTGGTGTACAGGGTGCCTGGTGGTGTACAGGGTGTCTGGTGGTGTACAGGAGTGTCTGGCGGTGTCTGGGGAGTGTCTGGTGGTGTACAGGGGTGTCTGGTGGTGTACAGGGTTGTCTGGCGGTGTACAGGGTGTCTGGTGGTGTACAGGGTTGTCTGGCGGTGTACAGGAGTGTCTGGTGGTGTACAGGAGTGTCTGGTGGTGTACAGGAGTTGTCTGGTGGTGTACAGGGTGCCTGGTGGTGTACAGGGGTGTCTGGTGGTGTACAGGAGTGTCTGGTGGTGTACAGGAGTGTCTGGCGGTGTACAGGGAGTGTCTGGTGGTGTGCAGGAGTCTGGTGGTGTACAGGGAGTTGTCTGGTGGTGTACAGGAGTGTCTGGCGGTGTACAGGAGTTGTCTGGCGGTGTGGGGAGTGTCTGGTGGTGTATAGGAGTGTCTGGTGGTGTACAGGAGTGTCTGGTGGTGTAGAGGAGTGTCTGGTGGTATAGAGGTGTCTGGTGGTGTACAGGAGTGTCTGGTGGTGTACAGGGGTGTCTGGTGGTGTACAGGGTGTCTGGTGGTGTGAGAGGTTGTCTGGTGGTGTGGGGTTGTCTGGCGGTGTACAGGAGTTGTCCAGTGGTGTACAGGGGTGTCTGGTGGTGTACAGGAGTTGTCTGGCGGTATACAGGTGTCTGGCGGTGTGCAGGGGTTGTCTGGCGGTGTAGAGGTGTCTGGCGGTGTACAGGAGTGTCTGCGATGTACAGGAGTGTCTGGTGGTGTAGAGAATGTCTGGTGATGTACAGGAGTGTCTGGCGGTGTACAGGAGTGTCTGGGGGTGTACAGGAGAATCTGACAGTGAAAGAAAATGTCTGGTGGTGTACAGGAGTGTCTGGTGGTGTACAGAGTGCCTGGTGGTGTACAGGAGTGTCTGGCAGTGTACAGGGGTGTATGGTGGTGTACAGGGTGTCTGGCGGTGTACAGGAGTGTCTGGTGGTGCAGGAGTGTCTGGTGATGTACAGGAGTGTCTGGCGGGGTACAGGGTGTCTGGTGGTGTACAGGAGTGTCTGGCAGGGGTGCAGGTGTCTGGTGGTGTACAGGAGTGTCTGGCGGTGTACAGGAGTGTCTGGTGGTGTACAGGAGTGTCTGGTGGTGTACAGGAGTGTCTGGTGGTGTACAGGAGTGTCTGGTGGTGTACAGGAGTGTCTGGCGGTGTACAGGAGTGTCTGGTGGTGTACAGGAGTGTCTGGTGGTGTACAGGAGTGCCACACTGTTTATGGGAGGGAGGAGTGTGATGTGGTGTATGTCGAGAAGCTATCACAAGGAATTTATTTACACAATTTTTTTAGTTTTCACTCGTATTTCATGGTTAGGAAATAGAATTAGAGATCAGCATTTAAAACACCAGGAGAGCATCTGCCTCCTCTCACGGTGTACAGGATTACAAATGATGGGAAATAGCGGGAGTCCGGTGGTGAAGGAGTAGAGGTGTCAGTATATATAGTGAGTGATGATATTGGCAGTGAATTATTGGATAGATGGTCAGGTGGAATAAACAAGTTGAGGGAATGGCAAGTGAAAGACTGATAAGTGTGTGGTAGGAGGTGAGGAGATGGAAGGATGGGGTGGAGGCAACACAAGAAGTAAGAAGGAAGGAACAGCCAGCAAGCAGTGGTGTGTGTGAAGGAGTGGATAGTGTTACGACCGTGTCGTATTTTTCTATTTTTTTTTATATAACTTGCTTCCATGTTGTTCCATATTATTCCTGTAATGATGTGTTATATTTACTATTATATAATCTAGTCACCTTACCCTGTGCTGTTAAGGTTTTAACTGTTATTATTTGTTCAAGCCCATCTTATTTCTTCATTTAGTATTGTAACAAGCATTCTTTGTTTCTCTACCGACCATCTGCATCGTTAAACGACCCATGTTTCACCAGTGGGTCGCATTGGCGCCAGAGCTGACCCTATATATAGTAGTCCACCTGTAGACGGAGTTTAGTCCAGTCCTCTCGTCATTCAGTTCACGTTCTTTTGAGTGACACTTGTCACCTGTTACTTATACTTATTTTACTGTGTTGTTCCTGTCGCCACCAATGTGGTACAGTATATCTGTTTGAGTACCTATTTATGTCTCTTGTGTGTCCATCAGTGCTTGCTTAGTTACATTTAAGCAATTCAGTGTTGTTTCACATTAGTTAATTTCTGTGTTAGTTATTTTATATGTCTATGTAGTGTTAACATAATCCAGTGCTTTATTTTTATTCTATATATTTAAGCAGTTCTTTGATGTTTCGATGTTTAGTATCATTTGTGTCTTAAAGGTTTCGATAATGAATCAATTTGTTGTGACAGTCTACGAGGCTCTTTATTGTGTTAATATTTTATTTAATTAAATTCTTAAAGGTTTACCTTATTTATTTTTATTGCCTTTTGATTTACTTCATTTTTTTGTTTGGTTACGCCTAGAACCTGGATATTAAAGTAAATTAAGAGACGGCGTAACAATAGCAAAGCAGTGATTTTTGGGATGCGACCTGTTACTGGTGAGTGATGTTTACTTGTGAGGCGACAGAAGTAAACCATGACTTGTTGTGGGTGAAGTATTATACCAGAACAATCGAGTCTACCTGGTAGTGTGAATATTGAATGAGAGTGTATGAAGAAAGACGGATTTTATTTCTTGTCACTCTACAATAAATTGAAAACAACACTATTATTTTTTGCTTATAAAATATTTATTTTACAGGTAGAAATAGAAACTACTTCTCCAGGGAGATGAGAACCATGACTTGGTGTCCAGATGATGAAGCACCATCAATATGGACAAGAGAAATGAACAAGACTACAGAAAAGGATGAATATGCCCTAAATAAGTCAGTCTACCTAACAACAACAAGTTGTATCGTGAAGAAGGAAGTGTTGGTTAGATACGTCCACATAAGTACTAAAACAGATTATAACGGTGAACTGAAAGTTTATATACTGTAGGAATGAGGGAAGGACTTACTGACATTGTCATAATATGGTTGAACTTAGGTTATTTTCGACAATAGTTTCATCTCATTTGCATAATACAATATTTTCCTGTTGCTGGCACTGGAATGAGAGATCTTAGTTAAAGAATTTGCTGTAATTTTCAGTAATTATTACATCTATACAACCTGTTTGTAATCAATGAGTTTTTCCTCTGTGGACAAACTTTTGTATTATTAAAAATATTTGTATATGTTGAACATGTTAAAAATTTTAATTTCTGAGGCAGTGTGTCACTGCTAGGGGTTGTGTGAGGCCACCAGGGGCTGTGAGAGGCCACCAGAGGTTGTTTAAGGCCATGAGGGCTGTGTGAGGCCGCCGGGGGCTGTGTGAAGATCCCATGGTTGTGTGAGGCCACCAGCGGCTGTGTGATGCCACTAGGGTACTGTTCGTGACTACGTGATGATGTGTGAGGCTTTTAGAGTGCTATTTGTGCATCTGAGGGGCTGCTAATTGATGCCTCGAAGGTCTACCTGATGCTCCATTGGGGCTCGGTGATGCTGCCAGGGCTTGTGGGAGACTACCAGGGGCTGGATGAGGTTGCTAGTTGTGTACAGCTAGTTGGGGCTTTTGATGCCATAAGATGACACTAGTTGCAGTGACAGCCTTTACTCACTAGAGGCTGTCTGTCACTACTAGACACTGTGAGCTGCCAGGGGCTGGGTAAGGCTTCTCTGGTTGAGCACTTACTAGTGGTAGGCAAAACACGTCGACCAGGCTTGTAGCCTTGCATGATCCAGGTTAGGTCACTATAAAGGGTGAACTAACCTGGTCCACAGCCTCTCGTGTGTCATTCAATAAAAATTTTGCAACTATTTGTAGTAACTTATTTGTACCATGTATATAAAAATAATTATTATTTTTCATTGTTATTTATATATCCTAAGAAGAAAAGAAGTATCCTAGAACCGATGATATGGAGGAACGTTCCAGGGGCGGTGGCGCCCCCAGGAGCCCTCTCAAAGGCGAGGGCACCTCCAGGGACCCTGAAAGGAATGGCGGTGCCCCCAGAGACCCTCCCATGGGCGATGGCGCTCCCCAGAGACATTCCCATGGTCGGCAGCCCCCTCAATGACCCATCCAGGGACCTTTCTGGGCGGAAGCACACCCAAAGACCTTCCCAGGGGCGGCAACGCCCCCAGGAACCTTCTCAGGGGCAGGGTCGCATCCAGAGACCCTCCCTGGGGTGGCGGCGCCCTGCAGGGATCCTCCTGGGGTTGGCGCCCCCCCCCCCCAGGGACCCTCCCAAGGGTCCCCAGGTTCCTTATGGCATGCTTTCTCGTTATGTCATATATTACAGTACATACTTCCAGCAGTCTATAATCGAACTATGATTGGTGGATTATTCTTTTAACCCACCAAATTACAGCCAATAGGAGAAGAGAGCAGTCACAACTTATGTTTTCCTGTTGGATACTATCCTCTGTTATCTTCAGAATACGATGATACTGGAAATGTAATGTTCTAAATAGTGCAAAATCTACTGCACCCACTGGTTCTATAAATCTATCGCTCTGGTGGCCCTCCTTGAGGTGGCAGCGCCCCCATGGTCGGCAGCGCCCCCAGGGACCTTCCCAGTTGCGCTAACGCCCCCAGGGAATCTTCCAGGGGCGTCAGCGCCCCCAGGTATCCTCGCAGGGACAGCGGCACTCTCAGGGGCAGCGGCGCCTCCAGGAACCCTCATAGAGGCAGTGGCGCCCCCAAGAACCCTCCCAGGGGCGGCGACACACCCAAGGACCCTCTCAGGGGTGGCGACACCTCCTGAAACTGTCCCAGAGATGGCGGCGCCCCAAGGGACACCCCAGGAGCAGTGGCGCCGACAGAGACCCTCCAAGGGGTGGCGACAGCCCTAGGGATGTTCCTGGGGCGGTGGCGCCCCCAGGTACCTTCTCAAAGCCGGCGGCACCTCCAGGGACCCTGCAAGGAACGGTGCTGCCCCCAGTTACACCCCCAGGGGCGATGGTGCCCCCCAGGGACCTTTCCATGGACAGCAGGCCCCAGTGACCCTCCCAGGGACGGCAGTGCACCCAGTGGCAGCAGCGCACCTAGGAACCCTCCCTGGGCCACACTGGTGTCCAGGGACCTTCCCAGAAATCCTTCCAGGGCTGGCGCCTACACACCCCCAAGGGACCCTCCAAGGGTCCATATGGCATGCTTGCTCATTGTGTCATACTGTATATTACATACTTCCAGCAGTCTCTTACTGAACTATGATTGGTGGACTATTCTTTTAACCCACCAAATTACAGCCAATAGGAGAAGAGAGCAATCAGTCAGCACAACACCACAACTTATGTTTTCCTGTTGGATACTATCCTCTGTTACCTTCTTCAGAATGCTATATTACTGGAAATGTGATGTTCTAAATAGTGCAAAAACTGCTGCACCCAGGGGTTCTACAGGACTATCGCCCCCAGGAACCCTCCCAGGGATACAGTGGCGTCCAGGAACCATCCCAGGAATCCTCCAAGGGCTGTCGCCCCCCTAGGGCTGGCGCCACCCCACCCTCCCCACACCACCAGGAACCCTCCCAAGGGTCCTCAGGGTTCCAATGGCATGCTTGTACATTATGTCATACATTACATACTTCCAGCAATCTCTTACTGAATTATGATTGGTGAACTATTCTTTTGACCCACCAAATTACAGCCAATAGGAGAACAGAGCAATCAGTCAGCACAACACCACAACTTATGTTTTCCTGTTGGATATTTATTCTCCTTTTCATTGCTCAGGTTGAGATAATACTGAAAATGCGATGGGCGGAGTATTTATTTAACGTCATATCTCCCAGAGTTTAAATAGTGAAACGAGAATAAATATCAACAGCAAAGCATAAGTTGGGGTGTTGTGCTGACTCATTGCTCTGTTCTCCTATTGGCTGGAATTTGATGACGTTACATTTTACTCCACCAATCACAATTAAGTAAGGGATTACTGGACGAATGCAAAATGTACGACAAAACTATAAAGTTTTTGGGGTGATGCCGCATGTGGAAGGGCTCCTGGGGGCGGCGTCGCCCCTGGCAGAGACCCTGCCGCCCCTGGAAAGGCTCTCGCTGCCACAAGGAGGGCCCATGGCTGTGCAGCCGGCCCTAGGAGGGCCCATAGGGGCACCACACCCGTTGGCAGGGTCCCTGTGGGCAGTGGCGCCCCATAGAGGGACCCTGGGGGAGATACCGCCTCTGGAAGGGACCTTGAAGGCGCCACCGCCATGGTAGGGTTCCTAGGAGCGCCGCCGTCCCTAGGAACACCCCTGAAGGCGCTGCAGTCCCTGTAAGGGACCCTGGGGTCGCCGCTATCCCTGTGAGGGTCATTTGGCCAAGCCAGGCATGGAGGCGCCCCCTGGGCCCTCTCAGGGTCGGCGGTGCCCCCAGGGGACCTATCAGGGGCGCTGGATCCACCAGGGGTGCTCTTAGGGACAACAGTAATCCTAGGGGCCTTCTCAGGGAAGGCGGCGTCCTCAGGCACTCCACCAAGGACAGCCAATCTCTCAGGGGCCTCTCAGGGACGGCAAAGCTCCAAGGAACCCTCCCATTGACGGCAGCGCCCCAATGTGACCTTCTAGGGGCGCTGGCGACCCTAGGGGCCCTCCCAGGGACAGCAGTGATCACAAGGGCCTTTCCAGGGACGGGGGCGCCTCCAGGTATGTTCCCAGGAACCGTGGTGCTCCCAGAGGCCCTGCTAGCAGCGGTGGCGCCTTCAGGGGCCCTTCCAGTGGCGGTGGCTCCCCCCAGGCCTCTTTATGGGGCGCCACTGCTCCCAGGGACCCTGCCAAGGCCTGTGGCTTACAATAGGTCCTCCTAGGGGAGGCGGCGCCCCAAAACAATGGATAGTGGTGTCGTACATATTGCATTCTTCAAGTAATCTCTTACTTAACTGTGATTGGTGGAATAAGAGGTAACGTCATCAAATTACAGCCAATAGAAAAACAGAGGAATCAGTCAGCACAACACCCTAACTTATGTTTTGCTGTTGGATATTTATTCTCCTTTTCATTGTTCAGGTTGCGATAATGCTGAAAGTGCTATGGGCAGTGTGTATATATTTAACGTCATATCTCGCAGAGTTTAAATAGTGAAACGAGAATAAATATCCAACAGCAAAGCATAAGTTGGGGCGTTGTGCTGACTGATTGCTCTGTTCTCCTATTGGCTGTAATTTGATGATGTTACATCTTACTCCACCAATCTTGTTTAAGTACGGGATTACTGGACGAATGCAAAATGTACGACAAAACTATGAAGTTTTTGGGGCGATGCTGCTTGTGGAAGGGCGCCTGGGGGCGCCGTCGCCCCTGGCAGAGACCCTGCCGCCCCTGGAAAGGCACCCACTGCCACTAGGAGGGCCCATAGCAGCGCCGCCGGTTTAGGAGGGCCCATAGGGGCGCCACAGCCCCTGGCAGGGTCCATGTGGGCAATGGTGCCCCAAAGTGGGACCCTGGGGGAGACACCACCTCTGAAAGAGCCCCTGAAGGATCTACAGCTGTGGTAGGGCCCCTGGAGGCGTCGCCGTTCCTGGGAACACCCCTGAAGGCGCCCCTGTCCCTGTATGGGACCCCGGGATCGCCGTTGTCTCTGGAGGCGCCCCCAGGGCCCTCTCAGGGTCGGCGGTGCCCCCAGGGGACCTTTCAGGGGCGCTGGATCGACCAGGGGTGCTCTTAGGGACAATGGCAATCCCAGTGGCCTTCTCAGGGAAGGTGGCATCCACAGGGGCTCCTCCAGGGACGGCAACGCTCCAAGGGACTTTTGCAGGGACGGCAACACTGCTAGGGACCATCACAGGGATGGTGGCACCCCTATGGGCCCTGCTAGGGGCGCTGGCGAACCTAGGGACCCTCACAGAGACAGCCACGATCCCTGGGTCCTTTCCAGGGATGGGGGGCGCCTCCAGGTACGTTCCTAGGGACCATGGTGCCCCCAGAGGCCCTGCCAGCTGTGGTGGCGCCTTCAGGGGCCCATCCAGAGGTGGTGGCTCCCCCAGGCCTATTTAGGGGGCGCCACTGCTCTCAGGGACCCTGCCAAGGCCTGTGGCTCAAAATAGATCCTCCTAGGGAAGGCGGTGCCCCAAAACAATGGATAGTGGTGTCGTACATATTGCATTCTTCCAGTAATCTCTTACTTAACTGTGATTGGTGGAATAAGAGGTAACGTCATCAAATTACAGCCAATAGAAAAACAGAGGAATCAGTCAGCACAACACCCCAATTTATGTTTTGCTGTTGGATATTTATTCTAATTTTCATGGTTCAGGTAGCGATAATACTGAAAATACTATGGGCACTGGGCAGTGTGTATTTATTTAACGTCATATTTCCCAGAGTTTAAATAGTGAAACGAGAATAAATATTCAACAGCAGAGCATAAGTTGGGGTGTTGTGTTGACTGATTGCTCTGTTCTCCTATTGGCTGTAATTTGATGATGTTACATCTTGCTCCACCAATCACAGTTAAGTAAGGGATTTCTGGACGAATCCAAAATGTTTGACAAAACAATGAAGTTCTTGCGGCGATGCTGCAAGTGGAAGGGCCCCTGGGGGCGCCGTAGCCCCTGGCAGAGACCCTGTCGCCCCTGGAAAGGCCTCCACTGCGACTAGGAGGGCCCATACCAGCGCCACCGGCCCTAGGAGGGCCTATAGGGGCGCCGCAGCCTCTGGCAGGGTCTTTGTGGGCAGAGGCGCCCCATAGAAGGACCCTGGGGGAGACACCGCCTCTGGAAGGGCCTCTGAAAGTGCCACCGCTGTGGTATGGCCCCTGGGAACACCCCTGAAGGCGCCCCCGTCGGTGTTAGGGTCCCTGGGATCGCCACTATCCCTGTGAGGGTCACTTGTCCATGCCAGGCAAGGAGGCACCCCCAGGGCCCTCTC